GCCCATTACAAACATATTGTGCAGTCGCACCATTAGCGATGCATTAAAGGAAATCCGATATTTATTTATTTTTCCGCCGCATTTAAAACCCTGCCCGCGGTATTTTTCGGCAGCCAGGTTTATTCAGGGAGCAGGACACGGGAGAGGAGAAAGAGAACTCCTCCCCTGCAATACCACAAAATGGCTCTAGGAAGCCGAGCACGGAGGAAATCAATGCCAGAGCGTGTCTGATGGTCCAGATCGGGGAGCAGGGGGAGGGGAAGGCGAACTCATCCCTGTCGCTATGCAAAGCTCCAGCACGGAGCGAGCGAGCAGTGGAGCAGTGGGGAGGGGCACGGGGCCCCCCGGGATGCTGGAGAGCAGATGGAGACGGGGGGATGCACGGGGGCAGGGGGAGAACGAGCACGGGGGGATGGCAGGAATGAGTGATGCTGTTGCCATGCACGATCTGCTCCAGTGCAGCTGCCTGTGCACGGCTCAGGGTGGGATCCTTCTGATATGGTTTGCTGAAATTCAGCCTTTGTCTCAGAGACTGTGGCTCCCATCTCAGCCTTTAACTGCCTCATGGCTGGGGCCAGGCTCTCCTGAAGGATGGGGACACCCAGCCAGGATGGGGACACCCAGCCAGGGCACCCAAAGGGTCCAAGGCAGAGCCCAGGGCTGCTGCTCCCTCCTTCCAGAGGCAGAGAGATTGTGGGAACAAAGAAAAACAACGAGCAGAGGCGGTGGCCTGGGTCCCCTCGCGTTTCTCCTCACTCCAGACCAGCTCTGTGCTGCCTCTGTGCTGTCTCTGCTTTCCCCTGAGCAGATGGAGGTGGCTGAGCCAGCCAGAAAGCTGGACAAAAAGCTGGAGCACATCCCACATCCCCTGAAATATGGCTGTGTACACATTCCCCTTGCAGGGGTCGGAAGGATGAAGCAACTGCAGTTTGAGAAGCTGCAGCTGCTCTGTTGGAGCGGGCAGGGAGGAAAACACAGCGAGGCTGAAAACAAGAGTGATATTGTGCACTGGGGCAGGGCTGTGGGGTGCAAGCAGGGAAATGCCTTTCACTTCCTGCTCTGGAAGCATTCCCCACAGCAGAATTCTTCCACAGTCCTCATGAAATGGGTTCCAGACCCAGCAGGGCTTGCAGGACCTTGTGCTGGGGGGATGTGTCTGTAATTAGTTATATTTATTGCTAATCCTCACTCGCCTGAGCAGCAGTTTATTTCATTAGCAACCACCCCAAGGCCACAGCCATGGAGGTGTTAGAAATGACCCCCAAGGTGTGGGATGACTGGAGATGTGCTGGGGCCACAGGTGGACTACTGTGAAGAGGTTTTACAACAACTTCTGTGACCCAGAGAGGAGTCTGATAAGAGGATCCATGTTTACCCCTGAAAGAATTTCCTACCAAGGTCATTGACATAGAAACCAAGAAAGAAAGAAGGAGAAATAAGAGAAACCTGTCACTGCCTGTCCCAATGAGCACTTTGTTTGTCTCTTGTGACCAATAAGTAAAGTGCAAACTTAGGAGTTCTGTAAGAATGTATAAAAAGAATCCAGGCTATAATAAAAACAGGTCTGAAGCCTTCTGAAAATGGAGTGCAGTGCTTTGTATTGTCTCCGTCTGAACTCTGACAGACTACAGCTCCCAGCCATGGAAGAATTGTTTTCTCTGGACTGTCCCAGCCCAGTCAGAGGCTGGGTGCACTCGGGCACCTTCTCCTCTCTGGGTTTTGCTGCCCTGAGTCCCTCTGGGACCACCCGAGGGCTCAGAGCAGTGAAGGGCTGGGGGTGCCAGCACCACCCAATCCCCATGAATTAATTTGCAGTCTCAGCACAGCTTCCAGCAGGGAGAAAAGGCACTGGTGAAGTTCCCAGCCTGCCATGGGTAAGGGTGACCGGCTGTTTCTAGGTAACACTGACATTAAGGCTAAAAAGAAGAGAGAACAGGAACAATGGAAGGTTATAAATGGGCACCGAGGTGCTCTTGCCAAGCAAAGCACTTGAGCTCTCGTTGCTGGAAAGGTCATGCTCAGCCTCTACCAGCAGCCTGTCATTATCCCAAACGGTCCTGAGGACGAAAACAAGAATTTGGGCTCTGGCAAAAATAAGCAGGAGTGGCTCCATCGCCCCCGGGGCAGCCCCAGAGCAGGTGCTGCTGCAGCTGCTGGTGGGGCTTTCAGGGCACCCAATATAGCGTGTCTGCCCCTGCCTGGGGGCACAAGGACCTTCCCTTTCTGCTCTCCCACCACCCCATGGCACCTCTCTAAATTCTCCCTGGAGCCAGAGTATTTTAAGGACAGGATGTCTGTCCTTGAGAGTCTGGGGTCCTGGAGCATCTGTGCTCCTTGGGCTGTCCCAGCAGCTGCCTCTGCCCATTCAGATCGTTCCAAACTGGTTTTTCATTCTGTTACCCAGCTGCGAGGCAGGAAGAGCCAGAGGAAGGATGGCTGGGAAGGGAGACAGAACCCTAGAGCAAGGTCACAGCCCTGGGGGGGAAATCAGGTCCCCAGATACTCTGTGATGGCAATTTAACCATTGGGGAAGGGATTTAATCCTCACAGGACTGGATGGTGCAGGCAGGGCCAGCGCTGCGAAGGAAAACCCTTGGGCCAGGGTGAGGATGCATCCAGGGCATCACTGTGACCCTTCTGTCATCCCGGAGCTCAAACTGAGCTCAGTGGGTGACAGTGAAACATAAGGATTATTTAAATGGCCAGGAAATCACACCAGGGATGGGTAACACAAAGCTTAATGGGCAATTAGCGCTGCCCCTAATCAAAGCCTGCTCCAATCAACACTATTGGCTTAAAGAGAGAGCAGAAAGGGGACAGAGAGCCAGGGTGACACGAAAACGCTGTGCTGGGGGAAAAACTGCTGCTGGGTGCCCATGCACATAGCCAGCACAGAAAGGCCCGAGCAGGATGGATAAGGCACAGCCATTATCTGCAGGGGGATTTGATTTCCATCAGCCCCAGGGCAGACCCAAGCCCTGGGAGAGGCCGGGGCTGTGGATTGGGGAGATTTGCTGCAAATGGGCCCGGGGCTCCATCAAAGTCGGTGCTTAACCTGGAAGGGACCCGCTTAGCTCTGATCCTGGGGATTGCTGGAGCAGCAGCCAGAAAAACAGCTTTATTTACCAGCAAGGGGACCGGATCTGGAGACACGGGGTGATGATAACCACATGCAAGCCCAAGGGCTGTTTTTCCATGGTCTTTTTTTCAGAGCAAAGACACATTTTCACATTGTTTCTTTCTCTGGAGTGTAAACAGCCCCCTTGCCCCAGACCTCGTCCCCCTCCCCAGCCCAGCTGCTGTCTCCTGGTGTCTGCAGAGCAGCAAAGCTCAGCTGCAGCAGCTTTCCAAGAAAGCAACACCAAAGCCATTCCTCCTCCCTCGGATTCCTTCCCTCCCAACAGCTCAAAGGAAACATCCTAAGCATTTTGCACAGGGTTTTATGGCTGTGCTTCTATTTTTAAATCAAGGGGGGGTAAAGACTTGAAGGTATTTATAAATAAAGGCTCTATGAAAAGCAGGCTCTTTATCCATAGTGCTGCACAGAATGGTAATTGTCCTGGTTTTACACAAAGCCATGGAGGCTGTGGCTGCGTGGGAACATCCCTCCCTGCCCAAGGCTTCTGCACAGCCACAAACCAGAGCAAACCAACCCCAAACGACCCCAAACCAGTGAGTACAACTGCAAGGAGGCAGCAGCAGCCAGGGGAGGAAACGTTGGTGAGCTCAGCAGAGGGGCTCAAGGAGCTCCTCTGCACACAAGGTTTGTTGGGAATACTGAGCCAGGCATTCTCTGTTTCCCTTGGTCCAGACACACACAACTTCCAGCCTTCCCTCCTCCTCACCTCACAGCAACTTTAATTTACTGTGACCTTCTGGAACCAAGCAGTCCATAAAACATCATCTCCAGACTGGCTCTTTCAGTAACACAACCCCAGCACAGCCAGGTGGTGTTTCAGTACAAAGCACAGAGTTTGGGTGGAAGAAATGTCCCTGTGTACAGGAACCAGATGTCTCCTCTGCCTGGATCTTTCCTGACCCCTCTCTCTGCAGAGAGATCAGTGCTTTTCCACTTAGATCCCTCCTGACCCCTCTCTCTGCAGGGACATCAGTCATTTTCCCTCTGGAACCCTTCTGACCCCTTTCTCTGCAGGGACATCACTCATTTTCCACCTAGATCCTTCCTGACCCCTCTCTGCAGGGATATCAGTGCTTTTCCCTCTGGATCCCTCCTGATTCCTCTTTCTGCAGGAACATCAGTGCTTTTCCACCAGCTTTGGGATCTGTTGCAGCAGAACCTTTGCAGGCTAACCCAGATGAATCAGTCCCACAGGATCTCCTCTATCAGCGCGACCCCAGGTCCCCCCAGAGCAGGAGTCAGGGTTTTCCCAGGAGTGATGGACACCAACCATTGGCTGAAGCCAGGATCATGGCTTGGAGCATCTCTGTGTCAAACTGGTTGTTGGGCCAGGCTCCAGCTTCCTCTCCATTCTGGGAGCTGTGGGAAAAGAAAACAAACAGCAAGTTACTCCAGTTCAGTCAGGAGCAGTGGGCTGGACCAGTGCATGCTTTAGATCCTCCCATAAACAGCACTCAGGGGCCAAGACCCTTTGAGAGTGTCCATCCCTCACCAGGCTCTTGAAGAATAACCACCAAAAGCACTTGGGGACTCCATGGTGCATCCAGCAACACCTTCCTACCTCCTGCTGCTCTCAGAGGCCACAGCCAAGCATTTCATCTCCTCAAAACCCCACCAATATGGAATCACAGAATGGCTTGGGTCAGAATACATGAAGATGATCTATTTCCAACCCCTGCCATGGAATATAATATCATCAATTGCCAAAATTACAGTGTAACATCATAAAAACTGCAGTTCCAAAGCCCCAGAGGTGCAAATCCACCCTTGTAGGACCAGGTCCTCTGCCCTTCTGCAGGCTGTGAGTGGATGCCCCTCTCTGTGACGGTGTTCACAGGGGTCTCAGATTGAGGGAAGAGATGAGGATCTGACTCCATGTTTCAGAAGGCTTGATTTATTATTTTATTATATATATGACATTAAAACTATACTAAAAGAATAGAAGAAAGGATTTACTGAGAAGGCTAGCTAAGAATAGAAAAAGAAGGAATGATAACAAAGGCTTGTGGCTTAGCTCTCTGTCCAAGCCAGCTGACTGTGACTGGCCATTAAATACAAACATCTAACATGAGCTACTCACAGATCCACCTGTTGCATTCCACAGCAGCAGATAACCATTGTTTACATTTTGTTCCTGAGGCCTCTCAGCTTCTCAGGAAGAAAAATCCTAAAGAAAGGATTTTCCATAAAAGATGCTGTGACACCTCTCAAGCTCTTTCAGGTTACAACTCCCCTCTGCAGCTTCATTCATGTGATGGAGGGTGAGAAAACCCCACAGTGTGGAGGGAATTTGGGTCAGCACAGAGCAGCTGCTTGGCACCACAGAATCTGCTCTGAAAAGAGTCCAAGCTCAGTCCTGGGGAGGCTGGAGCAGCAGGGAGAGGAGAGCAGGGAGCATCTGAGCATCTCCATTGGCTCCCCTTGGCTGCTGGGGGTGCTGAGCACCACAGATCAGCCTGGCAGAGCTCAGGGGATGCTGAGAGACTTTGGCTGAGGAGGTTTTGTGGCCAAGGCCACAATCAGCACTCTGTGCAGGCTAACAAGCCTGGCTTTCATGTCTGCCAGGTGTCAGCTGTGCTCAGCCACTGCTCACTGCTCAGGGCTGCGCTCCCAGAGCCCCTCCAGAGCCCCCACACTTCCTCAACATCTCACCAGCTTCCTGGGGTCCCCTCTGCTCTGTCCCCAAATGACCCCACCACTCAGATCACCATTGTCTCCTCTCCAGTCCCTGCTCTGACCACCCACAGCCCTTTCCATCCATTGGAATGCCAGGATTTACCCCTCGGAATGCCAGGATTTACCCCTTTGTTGGGAAGGATGAAAGTTTGACAAGAAAGTCTCACAGATAAGTGTGCTTGGCAGAAAGATTTTAAAATGTAGAATCTGAAGAAGGAACAGAGATGGAAGCAAGTTTTGATATAGAAGAAAAGAACTGCTGAGCCAGTCCTAGTGGATAACCAAGGAGGCAAAGGGTGTGTTAGTTAGAAGGGGTTTTTATGGCTTAGAGCAAAGGATAAACCCACCTCAAACAAGATGTTTTTACCAAACAGAAAACACAGGCAAACAAGCCTGCTGATGTGGCAAGTAGAAAAAAGGTCTCAGAATTTTCCACTGCAAGAAAACTGAAAAACAACTTCTAGCTTAAACTGTAATGTACTGACTTTTAGTGATTGGAGAACAGCAACATGAATATGGTAATTACAAGAGTTATGATAGGCTATAGGTAAAAATTAAGGTATAGGTATATATTTAAGGTATATATAGGTATATATATAAGGTATATAAGGTATATATTGGTTCTGCTGTATTAAGATGCTCAGCAAAGAAGAGTATATAATGCATTGTAACCAAAACCAAAGGGTCTCCAGGCCTGCCTGCAGCTGGAGCTGACAGCTGTAGGCACAGCTCTGTCAACCACAACTCCAGACTGCTGTGACACCTTGGATGGAATAAACTGCATTCTGGAGAGCCCCTGGAGTCCCACATCTCTCATTCAGGCTCTTACACCCCTTGGCTGTGTGCTGGCTCCCTTGGGATGGGGGCTGCCCTGGGAGCTCTCCTGAAGTGAGACAGGGGACGATGGGGGGTTAGAAAGCCTTTCCCATGAAAGGACCTCACCCCATTTCCCAGGTTCAAACCACCAGGCTACAAGGCATGGAGGCGCCTCCTCCACCCCTGTGCTCCCAGCCCTTATACACAGGAGCTGCCAGACCCCAAAACTCTGCTCAGACCCCAACAGTGTGCTCAGACCACAAAACTCTGCTCAGACCCCAATGCCCTGCTCAGACCCCAATGCCCTGTTCAGACTCCAAAACCCTGTTGAGACCCAAATAGCCTGCTCAGACCCAAATACTCTTCTCAGACCCCAACATTGCTCACACCTCAATGCCCTGCCCAGACCCAAAACCCTGCTCAGACCACTACAGCCTGTTTGACCCCAGCACTGCTCAGACCCTCACACTGCTCAGACCCCAACATTCTGCTCAGATCCCAATGCCCTGCCGAGATCTCAGCATCCTGCTCAGCCACAAGATCCCTGCCCAGCCCCTGAATCCCTGCCCAGCCCCTGTATCCCTGCCCAGCCCTGCTCTGGGGTGTCCCTGTGCCACCCCTGTGCCCGAGCTCTCAGCCCCCTGCACGCTGCCCCTGCCAGCACGGGCACGGCCAGTGCCAGCTCAGTGCTACGTGCTGGGCACCAGATGGGCTCTTCATGCCCTGCTGAGCATCCCCTGCCTGAGTGCCCTCTCCACCTGTGCCCTCACACACGGAACAGGCTCAATATGGGCATTTTGGAATGGGGATGGACCCACAGGCGCTGTTCTTGAAGGTTGTACCAGCCACAGTGTCCCTGTAGCTGCACCAAAGCCCTGCAAGGGGAGAAGCCTTGAATGCTCATGAGCTTTCAGCATCCCTGTGAAATCCTGCCCCATGCACAGGGTGCCCAAAGGAGCTGGGGCTGCCCCTGGATCCCTGGCAGGGCCCAAGGTTAGGTTGGACACTGGGGCTGGGAGCAGCCTGGGATGGTGGGAGGTGTCCCTGCCATGGCAGGGGTGGGATGGGATGGGCTGTGAGGTCCTTTCCAACCCAAACATTCTGGAATTCTGAATATAAGCTCAAACTGCCTTTGAAACACGATATCTATCTGTAAGGATGCTGTGCAGACACTCTCAGGTGCTCTTCACAAAATCTGGTCTTAAACAACTCATCCAAACATGTGCAGAACCTGAGCCAGGACCACAGGACTGTCCCTGCTGTAGGAGCATGGTGGGCTAGCACGGTTGGGACAGAAGGAGACGAGAGATCTCTGCAGCCAGGTCAGGAATTTGGGGTTTATTGCAAAGGGCCTGGGTGCAGGGCCCTGCTGGGAGCTGCCAAACACAGCTCAGAGCAGGCTGAGAGGAGAGAGGGGGAGAGAGGATGAGAGGGTGAGAGAGTAAAAGAGGTAAAGAGAGCAAAGTTCCCATTAGAATACAATAAATCTTCTTCTGTGTTGAACATTCTGATTCTCACTAACCAATCTGGTACAAGATACAAATCCTACAGCATTTCCATACAGCCTATAAGAATCATTACATTACCACACTGTGTTACATTTTAAACCCTAAAAACTCCTCTTTGGGCCCCTTCTGCCAAGCTGTAGGGTCTGCTCTGACCCTTGGGCCTGTCTGCAAGCAGAGGGTGTTGTTCCATCACAAAGGGATTACCTTCAGCTGGTCACACCATTGTTTTCCAGTGTTCAGTAACTGAGGTGTCTCAAAGTTTGCTTTCATTTCAATCTCGGTTATAGTTTCTATATTCTCAAAATCTTTTGCCAGACAATCATATTTATAAGGCTTTCCTGTTTCATCTTCCCCAACACCTTCCCTTCTGTGTCCTGTGCCTGAGCCATCCCCAGCCGGGCACAGGGCGCTGCTCTCACACCAGTTCATCTTTAGGGGATGCAAATGAGCACTAATGGAGCAGAGACTGCCTCGGCAGGAATCCTGAAATCCCTGCCCGTCCCGGGGCATCCCAGGCACAATTTCCAGCCCTCCTGCACGCCGGGGGTGGTGGCACAGTTTCAAAAAACAGAAGTGAGGTGTGCTCTCCTCCCAGATTGGTTCCTCCGTGGTGTTTGTGCCTCCCTCCCCATGCCAGGACAAGGTGGGGACAGCCCTAGGGCTGCAGTGACCTGTTAATGGCACAAACAGGCTGGGAATAGAGCCCCGGGCTAGATCCAATAAAGGACTTAGGAACCTGAACTCCACTGCAAACCACAACCCGTTCAGGCTCCTGTTAACCCAGCAGCTCCTGCCCCACACCCAGCTGCAAGATGAGGATCCCAGGTTTCTCAGGCTTCAGGGAAGTTGCTCAGAACCATCCCTGAGCCTCCCAGCCACTGATCCTGCCTCTGGAGCTGCCCTGACATGATGGTGGTACCCAGAGATAGGGGAGAGAAAGTACAATTAATATCAAATACATTTTGGGGTTTTTTTAAGTGTGGTATTCCGGTGGTTTGAACTCTGCTGTGAAATCAGAGGCTCAGGTTCAACTCCCTCTTTGATGTGGCAGTGCCAGCATCACATTTTCCATCTCCTAAAAGACTCCTCCCTCCTCTTCCACCCCTCCTTCAGGCTCCCTGTACAGACAGACATTCCTCCTGTCTCCTGTCAAAGCCTCTGTGTCCTGCAGCAGTGGGAATGCAGGAAGGAAAGGCTCACCCCGAGGTCAGGAGATTCACCTGCACCAGGACTCCCTGAGCTCCCCAGCCAGCCCACAGCCCCTGGCCCCAGGGCTGCAGGAAAGCACATGCAGCAGAGCTGGCACCCCTGGGCACCAGACCCGGCAGGAATGGGTTGGACACAGAGGGCTGAGGGGTC